GACCAATTGATGCATCTTAGATGGCCACTTACTAACTTTTAAGACCCCAGACACCATTCACCAAAGTGGGATAGAGAACGTTTTCTTTAAAAACTTTGTTATTTGGCTGCTTCTTATGTTTAAACCAAAAACAACCCATTGCCATTGAGTCGACTCCGACTCATAGTGACCCTATAGAATAGAGTAGAACTGCCCCATAGGGTTTCCAAGGAGTAGCTGGTGTATTCGAACTGCTGACCTTTTGGTTAGCAGCCAAGCTCTTAATCACGGAGCTACCAGGGTCTTTGTATAGTACTATATAAATAGTATGAGTTCTATAAATGTTTGTGGTTAATATTATTGATTACCTTGAATAGCAGGCACATGTACCCCTGGAGGTACACAATGACTTTTCAAGAACATTGTCAATTTCCAGGTCCTCAGCTTCCATTGTACCCTCTACTAAAATTGATCTGAGAATGAACCTACAGCCCAGGTATCATATTGGCTTTCCTTTCTCTCTTCCCCTTTCTAATGCCTTCCTCCCTCTTTACTACATATACACTTCTAAGTCTTATTATGGCACAGTTTCCCCAGGGTGTAAAAACATGCAGGACAGGAAAACAGTTTGGCAGTTCCTGAAAAAGTTGAACATAGAACTACCGTATCAAAACCAAACCCATTGCCGTCGAGTTGATTCCGATTCCGAGTGACCCTATGACCCAGCAATACCATTCTTAGGTATATACCCAAAAGACCTGAATACAACAATGTGAACAGTAGCCAAAAGGTGGAGACAACCGAACTGTCCAACAACTGGTGAATAAATGTACATACATACAATGCACTATTACTCAGCCATAAAGATGAATGAAGTCCTGACGTATGACACAAGACATTATACTGAGTGAAATCAGTCAGTCACAATAGGACAAATACTGTATGGTATCACTTATATGAAATAAGAAAAAAATACAGAAATCAAAACTAATTAGTGGTTACTAGGGGCAGGAGGGAGAGGGAAAGGGGTTTTTTACTTAGAGTGCACTGAAGAAATGTTAATAATGGTGGTGGAATAATTTGGAAAAAACACGAAAATGGTTGCACAACTTGAAGAATTCAAATTAATGTCACTGAAGTGTACACGTAGAAACCGCTGAAATATCATATGTGTTGTTGTATTTTACAATAAAAAATGGAAAAAAAAACTGCAGGAGAGCATACAAAAGTATAATTTGAAATATTGCTTTTGGACAACCTCTTTTAATTAAAGCACCACAATCCAAGGTATGGCTTCTGTATTTTTTTTTTCTGTCAAGGGTACAGTCTAATGGCAGAAAATATATATTTGGCCTATGTTCTGACCTTAGATATATTGAAAAGTTGGGGAAGGGAGGCAGTGAAGATATGTATATATATATATATATTTTATTGTGCTTTAGGTGAAAGTTTACAGCTCAAGGTAATTTCTCATACAAAAATTTATACACATTTTGTTATATGACACTAGATGCAATCCCTAAAATGTGACAGCACACTCCCTCTTTCCACCCCAGGTTTTCTGTGTCCATCCAACCAGCTCCTGTCCCTTCCTGCCTTCTCATCGGCCTCCAGACAGAAGCTGCCCATTTGGTCTCTCATATCTGCTTGAACTAAGATGCACACTCTTCATGAGTACTATTTTGTTTTATAGTCCAGTCTAATCTTTGTCTGAAGAGTGGGCTTCAGGAATGGTTTTAGTTCTGGGTTAACAGTGTCTGGAGGCCATGGCTTCAAGGGTTCCTCTAGTCTCACTCAGACCATTAATTCTGGTCTTTTTATGTGAATTTGAGTTCTGCTCCCCACTTTTCTCCTGCTCCACCAGGGACTGTATGTTGTGTTCCCTGTCAGGGTGGTCATTGGTGGTAGCCGGGCACCATCTAGTTCTTCTGGTCTCAGGCTGATGGAGTCTCTGGTCTATGTGGCCCTTTTGTCTCTTGGGCTAATACTTTCCTTATGTCTTTGGTGTTCTTCATTCTCCTCTGCTCCAAGCGGGTTGGGACCAATTGATGCATCTTAGATGGCCACTTGGAAGCTTTTGAGATCCCAGACACCACTCACCAAAGTGGGATGCAGAACATTTTCTTAATAAACTTTGTTATGCCAATTGACCTCGATGAAAGACAATTTTTATTTAAAGATTTTGCCTCTTCCATGTATTGTCAAAGAAAGCATTGCTCCTGAGGAAGAGTCCTGTGAAAGAAAAGGGAGCTGAGGTGAGAAATGTTGAAGGTGGTGATATTTTATTTCTTCCAGCTAATGGCAAGGCTTTATGCCTTATCTAACCACCTTAGAATATTATCATTCAAAAGACAGCATTTCTAAGCACCATTCTCCAATAAACAGAACCCGGGCTTCTGAGAGAAGTAGTTGGTTCCAAGGCTGCGGCAGGGGGAACACAAGATGGGCCTGGAACATTCTGTAGTCCCAGAAAGTAAGAAAATACTCAAAAGAAGATGAGGGCTGTTGAAAGAACATGGGAACCAATCTGAATGAGCTCTCCTAATAGCCAAAGTTGGAATAATTTGAGCAACAAGATAATGATAGTATTGGATTTTAACCCACAGAATAAAATAAATATCCATGAAACTATATTATAAAAAATTAAATAAATGGGGGAGAAGGCAGCTTCTCCTTACAGCAGAGTCCTAACTACTAAATGCAGAAGAAAAAGTAGAAAATCTCCACTTGAACACCACAGTAATAACTATTGCAGACAAGATCTACTGATCCACTAGTGAGTCTGAAGAAAAATAGAATTTGTGTAGTCTGAAAGCATCTCCCCAAGATATTAACCAAAAAAGGAACTTTACAGTGGAGAAACCTAACAGAAACCACCTTATCTAAGTGATCAAGGTCACTATCTCCAGTAATAAGAAATATCGATATTATGAACCCTGATACGATGCACTGAGGATACATTTTTGTGATATTCTTTCCAAGAAGCATAACTTCTGTCCAACCATGAGAAAACATCAGACAAACCCAAACTAAGAGACATTAGACAAAATAACTGACCGATATTCTTCTAAAGTGACATGGGCATGATAGACAAGGAAAATTGAGGGACTGTTAGAAACTTCAGGAAACTAAGAAATAACAACTTAATGTAATAGAATTCTCCTGCATGGAGATTCTCCACTCCTGGAATAGAAAAAGGACGTTAGTGAGAAAACTGGTGTAATTCAAATAAGACTTTGGTTTAATTAATAGTATTGTACCAAGTGTTAATTTCTCGGTTCTGATCATTGTACTATGGTTATGCAAGATAGTAACATCAGAGGAAGCTAGGTGAGGTATATATGGAAATTCTCTACTATTTTTATAACTTTTCCATAAATCTACAATTTGTTCAGAATAAAACATTAGAAGAATAAAGCTATGAATATAAAAAACAGCACGCTAAAAAATTTATCCACTGTGAAGCACACCCTCTCTGCACTTTTTACCATTTCCAGTACTAACTTGTGGCCTAATGCCGTATTTTGATTCTAAAGCAAAACTACCATATTGTAGAGTGATACTAATGAAATGTTTGTGGAATGAAAACCTAAGAGCTAGTGACTCCTTTTGATATACTTGTCGTTAAAAAATAATACATTTGCTGGGGACTCATCTTCCAGAGTTCTGCTTTTAGGCAGGATGTGGAGAAACTCTTCGGAAGTTCCTATCAACTCTGTTTTATTGGGTGAAATATGTGACTAGATAAGAATAGAGTTCCTGCCCTTTGTATTTCTGGACACACCTTTTAATGGTTGTAATAATTTGAAATTGTAATTTGCTTAAATGCCTTGACTCTCAAGGAATAAGAACTGGCATTAAATAAAATGGCAAAGGGATAGCAGAAACTTAATTTGAGAGCACAAACTATGAATTTTGTTAAACTGCAAGTGTTGCAACCTATGTACATATTTTTTTTTTCCTTCCAAGTTCTTTAACTGGTAAAATTACTCTTACAGAGGCAACAAATACTGTAAAATGTGCTTGATTAGTAATTTATTAAATTTACCTGTCAATTCATAATTCTGTATGGAGCCTTTCAAATGATGTTTTGAGAGTTTATTTACAATTGCTGAAAACAGATGGTTCTGTAAAACTTACAAGTAATTACAGCCTCCTTAAAACTCACTACATATATTTCAACATTTAAATAGAAGCCCATTTTCTTCAAAAGTAATTTTCTACTACTTTCTCATAAAAATATAAAAAATACTTAACAGTCATTGTTTTCACTATACTGAACCCAAACCAAGACTTCTGTACAAATACCTCTTTCAAAAAAGCTTAAAAGACATCACAGAACAATGTGACATTAAACCAAATAATCTCATCACAACAGAGTATTTTACTTTTAAGAAATAATGTGCAGTATTTCGTTTTTAACCTGACTTTCACACTAGATTTCAACTGTGTATAGGCTATGTAAACATACCAGATTAATCTAAGTCATTCATATTTATGCAGTAGATAGTTACATGTGACTAGTTACCATATAAACAATCATATAGTAATTGTAAAAATGGTAAAAGGCAATCTTTATGAAAGTTTTAAAAAATCTTTTTCATAAATGGCAACCAACATTGCCCTAATTTTCTGTAAAAAAAAAAAAAAAAGAATTACCTCTCTTCCTCCTACCTTCTTTTTCCCTTTGAATGGTACTTTTGATAGTATGTTACTACAGGAAGATATTTATATCACTTTTAGCCTTTTACATGGCTACTTTCTTTTCTGATACACTGGATTTATCAAAAGCCACCAAGATTAGACTCCTAAGTAATTTCAGATCTTTTGTTCCTTTTTAGGTTCCTCTAGAATGATTTTCTCAGAAAAGTGTAACTCTAAGAACTTACGGAACCAGAAAAAAATGAATTATATAACACAACAACTTGATTTGTACCATTCAAAAGATGTGAATATATTAATAGGTTCCTTGAATTTTTCATTTAGAATAAGAAGTCAGAAAAACTTTTTGAACATAAACATAAAAATAGAGCACATTTATTAACAGTAGGAAAACTCATATAGTAAATATTATTAAATCTTACATAATAACACATAGCCAAAAGCATTAGAAATTCATTGCCAGACACTCTGATGCATTATCCTGAAAACAGATAGATAACATATAACAAAGTATGGCATTTAATTCACAGGGAGAAAAGATAAGTTTCATCACAAAAACAGATTTACTGGATTTCAGCTATGATTAAATTTTAAAGATAAAAAAGCAAAACAAAACTCCTCAAAATAAAGAAGTCTTTACATATGTAATCCACTATTAATGATCTTTATGCTCTTACAATGTAAAACATTTAGAAATTTTTGAACTCTAGAAATTTTGACGAGTTAATCTATTTGGCTTTAACATAGTCTAAATTCCCTTTAGAGAATTATGTTAATGTTTTCAGTTCTTCAGTCCAATATGGATGGAGCAGTTCTATTTCTTTTTCTTCTTCTTTGGTGGTTCATCCTCAGAGCTGCTATCTGTGCTGGTGCTGCTGCTACTGGAGGAGCTGGAATCTGAGTCTGAATCAGAGGAAGAGGAAGAGCTTGTGGAGGAGGCTGAAGATGATGAACTAGAGGAGCTTTCATCAGTGTCACTATCCTCTGAGGAGGATGAGGTAGATGTTTCTTCACTCTCTGATGAAGAATCACTGGCTGAACTGTCACTGCTATCACTACTGGAACTGGTTACACTCTTAGACCTATAAGACAAGGAACAGTTAGATGCATGGAAACCTGACATTTAGTAGAATGTTTAAAAGCAATTTCATCTATCTATCTACACATAATACACACTGAAGCTTTGCTAGCATACTATTTGATAGTATTTGATAGTATTTGAAAGCATATTATTTGATGCTTTGGGGATTGTCTTATTGTTGTAAACCCTCCTCCCCTTTACAAAGTCTTTGTGTTACTTCAGCAATTTAACTCTCTTGCATGCAGTTCAAGATAAGTACACCTACTATATCATGTTCCAGAGTGAATAATAGAATAAAATTGCAGTGCAACAATTGGTTTTATTTAAACTTCATGTAAACTGGTAAATCTTTATTTTAACTACTTCAGACCAGACAAAGCTGGCCAACAATTTCTTACCAGTCTAATAACATTTCCTATTCTAAGCAAAAAGAAGGCAATTGTTTATTATTTCTAGCTATAAGAACTCTGGGAAAGTTGGAGAAAAAGGAGAAATGGAGGCAATAAATTCCTCACAGGAAATAAGAGGAACGTATCAGAAAACAGGATGATATTCACATAATCATAAATTGCTAACAACAGACCTCAGATCCAAATCTTATAACTATTATTTTAAAATCACTCTTCCCAATCCCTCCAACTATATTATTACATATTATCTACAGAATACTTCTAAAGTAACACATACCTTTTTTTCTTGGTCTTTCTTTCTACATTAGTTTCTGCAATGCTGATAAACACAAGGGGTGAAAAAGTTCCTGTTAATAGAGTGATTATACACAGCTCAGACAAACCCTTCTGCTATTCCCAACACTGTTTCACACTGGAGAAACAGTTTGCCTTTTATAACATGTACTTAGGGTACAGTATTTTTCGTTATAACCAAGTAGAAAATTTCCTATTGTAGGCTGAATATGGTTAAGTGCAGCCAAATTTACCAGCACTTAAGCAAGACAGATTTTATTACCTTTTTAAAAGCAGCTATATTAAATGGTCAACAATTACTTTAAAACAAGGATGAGAATGTAAAGGGGCAGGGAAACTAGATTAATGGAAACAGAATAACCAGAATGAAAATAATGAGAACGTTCACATATTGTGAAGAATGAACCAGTGTCACTGAACAACTTGTGTAGAAATTGTTGAACGGGAACCTAAACTGCTGTGTAAACCTTCACCTAAAACATAATAAAATATTTTTTTTTTTTTAAAAAAAGCCAGTTACGTTAGTAGTTGACTAAATGCACCAATGTGACTTCCTTTTAGTTAAGAACTTAGTTTGACGTGGCTAAATCAACTACTTACTGAACAATATATAATAAAGCAAACAAGAGCAGAACAATAGCTTTGAGTTTTCAGAGTCAAATTATAAATGGTCATTTCATATAAAAAGAAAACTATTCTTTTAATTTAAAATAACCATTTATTTTTCTGCATGTCCCCCAAATGATCAGTTATTTACTGTTTTAAAAATAGCTCAAGACTGTATACCCTAACATTATAAGGAACAAAGTCTAGTGATTTTGGAATGAAATATACAAATGGCTTGCTACTATACTGCTGCCAAACAACATATATGCTAAATCGGGTTTGTAAATTACAGAACTACTTCTCTCACTATAGCATTGTCTTGTAAATTTAATGTTTCTGTTTTCTACATTTCCTCTCCTTCCTTTTTCCTGGGTTTTCATACAAAAAATATGTACTTACGTCAAGTTGCCTTACACAGTGGAATTATTTACTGAATCGTCATTTTAGAAGTATAATAAGTGGTAGAAGTACATGTACTAATTCAGACCACAAGAATTCCATGTTCACCAAAACTCATGCACAGCCATCGTTTTACCACTGAACCAAAATCAGCAGTCTTTATTAAATGTCACGTAGTCCTGTGTATTTTTAAGACCAAGATACTTGTGTGATACAACTAAGGTAGAAAAACAAACAAAAAATGTTGAAATAAAATTATTCACTCTCTTATTATTTTATTCTTTGGGACAGTGATCTTCAAACATTTTTTGTTTATGTACAAAAAATTTTGAAAAACAATGTTTCTCCCCTCCTACATTTTTTATTCTAAGTTTTAATATCTGCAAATGCAAATTATATGTATTCATATTACATATATTGTTATTTTTAAAAGAAAATTGTTATATGATTCTTGTAAATGTATCTAATGGAAACTAAAGGCCATAATAATTTCATATCTACCATTATTCACTTTAAAAATATATGAGGAGTTCTGACAAAATGGCGCTCTAGGCAGAAGCACCATGCTGTCCCTCCACAGCAAAGATCCAAAAAACTAAGCTGAACAGAGAATACAACAATCCTGAAACCCTAAAACATCAAATAAAGAGATAAAGAACTCAGCCAAGCACCAAATGGAGTGAGAAAACTGACAGAGAACAGAGAGCGAGGAGAGATTCATGC